AAATTTATAGAGAGCGTACATTTAACGGAGTTTTGCAAAATATAACCAAAATGTTTCCCGATTAACGTTGCAACAAAGTGTCTGAGGCTTTTTTGATGTTTTAAAAACTTCGTCTTTAAACCGCTCTGAAGTGACCAAGATCGACAAAAAAGATCTATTTGTCTAGTTCAATATAGAAAAATACGAATATAGAAAAAGCCTGCTATACTTTTGTAGTCCGTCATCTACTGATTGACATGGTGTAGGTTGTTTGATAGTATGTGCAAAGATAAAGGCAGGTAATTTAGCACCGGAAACATTGTCAGTTTTACGTTTTCAGGCTTATGTTCGCTAATCAATAGATCGAAGTTTGAAAATAAGAATTTCTTCCTATTATACATTTGATTAGCTTTACGGTTTTTTTCTCGCTCTTCTATAGTTTCGTTAAAAGGGAAGCCAGTGCGAAAGAGTTTCTGAAAGAAACCCCTGAAGGTCTAAATCTACAACAGCCTTTAGATTAAGAGCTTTATATCAAGGGTTAGAAATTGTCAAAAAAAAAAAAAAAATGTTGTATATGTGGAACATCGATTTAGAGCTAGAAAAAAATCGTTAGGCGATAGCAATAGCAACATATAGAAAAAAGGTTGTTTGGAAGAAATGTTAATTAATAGATGAAGGTTACACTCACCAATAACTTTAAATAAGGGCTTGAATTACAAAGATATGCATAATTTGTTTAAATTGAAAGAATTAGAACTGCTTTTGCGCGTCGGTTATCAAAGAAAGATCAGTGCACTTTAGGGAAGGTCTGAACAATTCATATGAACTGCAAATATTGTTAAAAACTTTGGCCGATGAAAAGGACGAAAGACGAAGAATCCTTCCATAAAAGAAAAAAAGGGGGAAGTCACTGCTATAACAACAAATTAAAGGCTCATAGTTAGACCAGCCTCCAAAAAAAAAAAAAAATGATATGACTTCAGCAGTGGCACTTACATTTTTTTGTTGTTCTTGTTCTTGTTGCAATTGTTTCGGGTCGCTGGTAGATGACTTTACTTGCTAGTTTTGCCGTCCGTTTCCCTCACTTCTCCTCTTACACTGACCGAAGCGCCCTGCGTCTTTTCGGTTTTCCTGTGAATTGTTTGTAGCCTGACATTTG